AGACATCGGTGGAAGACCGACGAGCTCCTAAACACCGGTGGCGCAAGGCGGTGGCCTCTTTCAGTGCCACGAAGATGGATGGGTGCATGGGCAAGAGGTCCATGTGAGAGCGTATGGAAAGTGAGAGGAGAGAATGGTGGAAGAGAGGAGGGATTTGGGCGAGGAGATGGGGATTCGGCCAAAGATATGGTGACTTCACCTACCTCGTACTTAGCAGTAGCAAGGGGTATAAAACCGCGCTACTACTATCAACTTAGTAGTAGCGCGGGTTTATACCCCTCGCTACTACTATGGCATGTGTCGGGGAGCACGGTAGAGACCGCTTAGTAGTAGCGAGGGTTAAAAACCCGCGCTACTACTATCAACTTAGTAGTAGCGAGGGATTCTTTTTGTGTCGCGCTGCTGCTAAGATTCTGTGTATAAGGTTTTCCCTAGTAGTGTCCCCTTCTTCCCTTTGCCCTTCTTCTTGAAACTAGTGGTCTTGTTGACCATCAACACTTGATGCTCCTTCTTGATTTCTACCTCCGCAGCTTTTAGCATTGCGATGAGCTCGGGAATTGTCTTATCCATACCTTGCACATTATAGTTCATCACGAAGCTTTTGTAACTTGGTGGTAGTGATTGAAGAACTCTGTCAATGACACTATCATCAGGAAGATTAACTCCCAGTTGAGTCAAGTGGTTGTGGTACCCAAACATTCTGAGTATATGTTCACTGACAGAACTATTCTCCTCCATCTTGCAGCTATAGAACTTATTGGAGACTTCATATCTCTCAATCTGGGCATTTGCTTGAAATATTAACTTCAACTCCTGAAACATCTCATATGCTCCATGACGTTCAAAACGTCGTTGAAGTCCCTATTCTAAGCCATAAAGCATGGCACACTGAACTATCAAGTAGTCATCAACTTTGCTCTGCCAGACGTTCATAACATCTGGAGATGCTCCTGCAGCGGGCTTTGCACCTAGCGGTGCTTCCAGGACGTAATTCTTCTATGCAGCAATGAGGATAATCCTCAAGTTACGAACCCAGTACGTGTAGTTGCTACCATCATCTTTCAACTTAGCTTTCTCTAGGAACGCGTTAAAATGCAAAGGAACAGTAGCACGGGCCATTTATCTACAACAACATAGACATGCAAAATACTATCAGGTACTAAGTTCATGATAAATTAAAGTTCAATTAATCATATTACTTAAGAACTCCCACTTAGATAGACATCCCTCTAGTCATATAAATGATCACGTGATCCATATCAACTAAACCATCTCCGATCATCACATGAGATGGAGAAGTTTTCAATGGTGAACATCACTATGTTGATCATATCTACTATATGATTCATGCTCGACCTTTCGGTCTCAGTGTTCCGAGGCCATATCTGCATATGCTAGGATCATCAAGTTTAACCTGAGTATTCTGCTTGTACAAAACTGGCTTGCACCCGTTGTATGTGAATGTAGAGCTTATCATACCCGATCATCACATGGTGTCTCGGCACGACAAACTGTAGCAACGATGCATACTCAGGGAGAACACTTGTACCTTGAAATTGAGTAAGAGATCATCTTATAATGCTACCGTCGTACTAAGCAAAATAAGATGCATAAAGGATAAACATCACATGCAATCAAAATAAGTGATATGATATGGCCATCATCATCTTGTGCCTTTGATCTCCATCTCCAAAGCACCATCATGATCACCATCGTCGCCGGCTTGACTCCTTGATCTCCATCGTAGCATCGTTGTCTTCTCGCCAACTATTGCTTCTACGACTATCGCTACCGCTTAGTGATAAAGTAAAGCAATTACATGGCGATTGCATTTCATACAATAAAGTGACAACCATATGGCTCCTGCCAGTTGCCGATAACTTTTACAAAACATGATCATCTCATACAACAATTTATATCATCACGTCTTGACCATATCACATCACAACATGCCCTACAAAAACAAGTTAGATGTCCTCTAGTTTGTTGTTGCAAGTTCTACGTGGCTGCTACGGGCCTCTAGCAAGAACCGTTCTTACCTACGCATTAAAACCACAATGATTTCGTCAACGCACGGCACCTTTGCGATCAGCACACGTTCAGCTCGGTGACGTCCCTCGTACTCTTGATCCAGCTGAGACCGAGGGAGAGTTCCATCAGCACGACGGCGTGGTGACAGTGATGATGAAGTTACCGATGCAAGGCTTCGCCTAAGCACTACAACGATATGACCGAGTTGTGTAACTGTGGAGGGGGGCACCGCACACGGCTAAAAGATCAACTTGTGTGTCTATGGGGTGCCCCTTGGCCACGTATATAAAGGAAGGGAGGGAAGAGGTGGCCGGCCCTAAGGGGGCGCGCCAGGTGTGGGGAATCCTACTAGGACTCCCTAGTCCAAGTAGGATTCCCCTCCTCTTTCCTATTCCTAGTAGGAGGAGGGAAGGAGAAGGAGGAGAGAAGGAAAGGGGGGCCACCCCACCCCCCCAACCCTAACCCAATTCGGATTGGGCTTGGGGGGGGCGCGCCACTCCTTGGCCGGCCTCCTCTCTTCCACCACTAGGCCCATGAGGCCCAATAACTTCTGGGGGGGGTCCGGTAACCCCCGGTACTCCGAAACTCACCCGAAACGACTCGAACCATTCCGGTGTCCGAATGTAACCTTCCAATATATGAATCTTTATGTCTGGACCATTTCAAGACTCCTCGTCATGTCTGTGATCTCATCCGGGACTCCGAACAATCTTCAGTCATCAAATCACATAACTCATAATACAAATCGTCATCGAACATTAAGCGTGCGGACCCTATGGGTTCGAGAACTATGTAGACATGACCGAGACACATCTCCGGTCAATAACCAATAGCGGAACCTGGGTGCTCATATTGGTTCCTACATATTCTACGAAGATCTTTATCGGTCAAACCGCATAACAACATACGTTGTTCCCTTTGTCATCGGTATGTTACTTGCCAGAGATTCGATCATTGGTATCATCATACCTAATTCAATCTCGTCACCGACAAGTCTCTTTACTCGTTCTGTAATGCATCATCCCGCAGCTAACTCATTAGGCACATTGCTTGCAAGGCCCATAGTGATGTGCATTATCGAGAGGGCCCAGAGATACCTCTCCGATACACGGAGTGACAAATCCTAATCTTGATCTATGCCAACTCAACAAACACCATCGGAGACATATGTAGAGCATCTTTATAATCACCCAGTTACATTGTGACGTTTGATAGCACACAAGGTGTTCCTCCGGTATTCGGGAGTTACATAATCTCATAGTTTGAGGAACATGTATAAGTCATGAAGAAAGCAATAGCAGAAAAACTAAACGATCATTATGCTAAGCTAACGGATGGGTCTTGTCCATCAAATGACAACACATTTCTATGGCTAGGAAACTTAACCATCTTTGATTAACGAGCTAGTCAAGTAGAGGCATACTAGGGATACTGTTTGTCTATGTATTCACACATGTACTAAGTTTCCAGTTAATACAATTCTAGCATGAATAATAAATATTTATCATGATATAAGGAAATATAAATAACAACTTTATTATTGCCTCTAGGGCATATTTTCTTCATGGACAGCATCCACATGGGCAGATGGTACCTATGCGGCGGACGAACAAGAGGTGGAACGGTGGCCTAGGCAAAGCGATGTGGCAACCGGGTGGAGCAGCGCAGGTTGCACAGGTCTGACAAAGGCTTGACGGACGACCGGGGTGATATAGTGACGTCATCGGGTAGGGAGGAAGTGGATGCAGAGCAAGGGGGTGGAGACGCGAGGCACTGGGTATGGTTTTGGGTAGGCCAAGGGTGTCGAAGTCCTACGTGGCGGAGGTTTGGACTCTAGCAAACCCCCCTGGTTTGCGGGAAACAGGCACGCGAAAGCATCGGCGAAACGATGGAGGATGACGTTGGATGATTTGTAGCGTCCGAACAACTCGGTCCGCAGGTGATTTGAGAGTCCGCTTTGAAGATGCCCTATTTCAAAGCCCTATGATATAAAATTTTGTACCGATGTCTAAGTTCACTTGTTGTGGAGGGATGCCGGCCTCTGAACAGGCACCTCTTATTCCCATCTCTTCCCGATGTATATATACTTGAGAATCAATAGAAACCAGGATTAATCATCCATTCACTTTGATTCAATCTCGTTTTTGCTCTTTCCCTCTTGCGGATTCTAGTTATGCTATCTCAGCTATTCGAAATCTAAAAATCTGTGTTTCAGTTTTGTCTTGATTGTGAGTTTTTCTTGTCATTTTATTACTTTAAAAAAGCAATTGTAAATAGTATCCGTGATAGCTAACATGGCTATAGCTCGGACCTCATCGCTAAGCTACAAAAAAATGCAATTTAAAACCTTGATAACCACACAGCTAACCACCAAAGGCCGCTCAAGTTCCTTCGTTCAATTTATGCACAAGGCCGGCAATTATTGACAAATAATAATTATATATTAGCAGAGCATATGTCTTTTACAGTGAATACACAATCCAAGCAAAGATGAAAAGATTCCAAGATCGCAAACAGCATGTGCCACGGTTAAAAAGGTCGTAAATTACAACATTTTCTCTTGTACTTTTTTCCGTGGCAGAAAAGTTGGCTTACAATGGCCTACAGTGGATGTTTACATTTGAACATAATAAAATGAAAAATTGAAAGCTCTCGCTGGAATTGTCCTACCTCGGTATCTTCACGACGCGTTGGCCTGGTGTTGGATTCCGGAGCTTCATTCAGCTTGTTTTGGTTGCGGCACAGTTGACAATCTAAGCCTTAAACAGATTAAAAAGAAATGTTATTATCAGCATAACATCGCACATCAAACAGGAAAACCAACAAACAAGATGAACTGCCAACATACTGTGAGTATCCACCCGACAAGTGGAGACACGCACATTGGCAGTCTCCCAACATAAAATAGGTTTTTGACCATTATTACTTTGCAAATGAATATGTTAGTAATACATTTAGAATAGTACTTGTCATGACAAACCATACTTCCAATGAAATGTTACTTTTGCTTTGATCAATCTATAATACATCATATATTTGTAAGTCAAAGCTAGAGAAGTTTGACTACAGCTTTCTAGGACGTCATATATTTCCAAATACAGGCAGTTAGTAGTAGGTAGCACAAGAGTACCTGAGGGGCTTTCTTTGAACGGTTGATGTTGATGCACGAGTGGCGGCAACTGGTGGGCCAGCAAGCTCAAGTGGCTTTTTAAAAATAAAAACAGAATCACAATTAATATCAAAATACAAGCAAATAATAGTGGAAGAAGCTAAATCACACCATGCATTTAGAGAACTAAAGCATTAAGAGCTAATGAGTATGCATAAATCTAAATACATATGAAAAAAGTTAAAAGGAAAAAGAATACCTCCAGCTCTTCCTCAGCCTTGCGCTTCAGATGATTATTACCATGAGAACTCAAATTACATGTTTGCCCCACGGTCCTTCCAGAACATCTTTCCAAAGATGATTCATGAACAGGAGGCACATGCTTATTGTCAGGCTTAGCTTGATATGATGCCAGCTCATCAAGCTCATCAACCACAGCCGGAGAGAAATTCACAGGATTATTTGCAGGAATCCCCTCAGCTTCCCTATGTAAACTATTGAAACAAATGTCCAGCCCATTTGTTGGAGCACCATTGCTTGAAGTAGATGGCATACTATTAGGTTGTGTAACTACATCCAACACAGCAATGTTCCCAGGAGCAGATGTACTTCCAAGAAAGTGCCCTGGAAGTTCATGCTCAAGGGATTCTGTGTGAAGATTTGAATGTCCATTCAAAATACTTTGGGTTTCTTTACTTGATACACTGGGGACCAACAAAGTACTTTGATAGCCACCAGAATGATCTAGGGCAGATTGAGGATCACTCCAACTTTCAGCGCCCGATGGATTTCCAACTTGACCATCAGCTGTAACAGCATTCCTAGAAACAGTGCGACTGCTCCTGGCTACTGTTCTGGAAGACCGAGGAGGGCGCACCCCACCAGGAAAAACAAACAAAGGGATATCTTTTCTTTTTACATGGGACACTTCAATATCCATTCCTTCTCTCCGATGTGCATAAGCAAGAACTGCGCTCTTAAACTCATTTACGATTCCTCTGATGTCAAATTGCTCAGCTTCTTGAGGTTGGGCGGTTTGTTTTCTCCAAAGACCCATGAAGTAAAAACTATGCAACGGCCTAGATCCATCTGAGAAATCTCTGGGATGCGGATGTGCAAGGAGCATCTCATGAGTATATCGTTCAAACTACATCAGCAGCGAAAATCACATATTAAAACACAGGCGGCACACATTACTAAGAAGAATGAAAGTTTTTTTTTCAGTTATTCACCTTTAATACAAGCGTCCGAAGGCGAGACTCTACCCAACCTTTCCAATTCCTGAGGTCATCTTCATTTCTTGCTGTGATACCAACCTCCAAATAATTTTTATATAATTCAAAAAATGGATATGGCTCGAATAAATCATCCCAGGTTGCTCTATTTTCATCTATTGCCTGCAGTTAATCATCAAGGGGATATCAAGTCTGATGCAAGACATAAATAGGTTCCATACATGTGAACTCAAAATAGAAGTTCTAAACATAAATTCAAAAAAGTTGCTACTGTATAAGTTAACATAAAAAACGCAAGCATTACATGCATACATTACAGTATGTTTTAATCAGATAATTAAAGTAAGATAACTCTACAGTAAAATGAATTTGCATAACTCTAAATACCAATATAACAAATACATATCCTGCATTAATAATTATTATTTAGACAGCAGAAATGGGGCGCTTCCATTAGCATTACAGATGCATTGAGATAAATGTCTTCTGAGGATAAAATCCACACTTTTAAGATCAATATGAATATATTACTACTAGACAGTAGATATCAGTAACATCACACCATTTGAATGCATGTTATGAATTTAATTACTGAATTCCTGTTAAATTATAAACAAATTATTCTGAAATAATAAGCACCTGGCAGATCTCGTATCCTCGTGTGAATTCTTGGACCATCACATACCTAGTACTAGTAGATACGTTATAACTAGAATTCATACAAGGATAGGCGGGTGTAATTATAGGCATCTGATGGCCCCTGTCTCTAAAGTTTCTTCTTGGATCCCAAACAGGGAGGCCAAGAGGACCCTCCTCAATATGGCAAAGTGTAACAGGGTTGGGCCACTTCCACTGGCTGTAGACTCTGAAAAAACGAGATATCAACATGCTGGGTGATGCATTTGGGTACAATTGACATATACGAGCAACAAGAATTGCCCAATTTATGCCACCCAAGAATCCCATAACCTGGACATGCAAGAAAATTTTGAGTATCAATTTCACATTCATAGACCATAATACTGATATAATGATATGCATATGCGCCGTAATGTAAACATGCAATCATGCACTGGACATAGTTAGCAGGGTGCTAAGTGTCTCCAGATGCTGCAATTTGTTTTACTTACCCAACCATATTTTATGTGCAACAGTATTTTAGAAATATCAGTAAACAGCTTAAGAAAATGCTAACTTTTTTGGTTCTCTTGTTTTCTTTACTTGTATTCTGTGTCCCATACTACCACAGTACTACTTGAATAGTTGACCCCTAAACAATATGAATGCTATTTCCATAGATCTATTAAGGCAGATAAATGGCAGACAATCAGACAAACATATTGTTACATTTGGTGTCAACTCTTGATTGAAACCAAATGGAACATAATGTCTTCTTTTAGAATGAAGCGAAATATTCTCTTGTTCTGTTGGCCTCCTTGTGTAAAGTTTCTGGTCTTTCCCTAAAAATGCATGTGCGTTCATACTTTAAAGCATACTCTTGCAGCGAGAAGAAACATACGTTTGAGTACACCCCACGGCGCTTCCCCCAGTATCTCATGAACCTTAAGGTTGTGCGAAAACTCTGGATTTGAGAAAACAAATAGGTTTTAGTCCATAGAATAATATTGACATGTTTACTTGAGAAACAGGCGACACATACCGGAATGTTCGGGACCAATCGTAAGATTTGATCAGTAACTCGACACCCATTTAAACTACGAACAGCCTGTTCATCAACATTGTGCAGTATGGAGTCCTGAGAAAGATCAAGATCCTGAAATGGAATCATGTAACATGATCAGGAATTCATATCAAACATCATCAGACCATGTTATGAAATGATTCACGAGCCAAACAAAACTAGGGAATAAAATGCTAAGCTCCATTTTACGGTCTTCCATTTTTTGAGGATGCAAATGCTTCCATTTCCTACTCATTTACTACAATGAGTACAATATAAATATAGCATACAGTACCGATATATTGTTTAAATAACAAAGCTGTAAAACAAAACTTACATCAGGAATAACCACATGTGCAAGGTTTGCATATAAAAGGTCAATAGACACCCCACAAAGTTTGAAACCCAAAACAGGCACATGAGCATCTGGTACTGGGTGTAATTCAGAAACTTCTGGCATCTCGGCTAGCATATCGTGAAGACACCTGAAGAAGTAGTCCTGCGAAAAATAAAATGCACATTGGACACAATAAGACTGATACCTTTGGAATTTTAGTAATAGATCCTCTTACATTTCGAGTTGCATGTCTTGGACCCACACATAGCGTGTCAATATCTGCGCCAGGACCGTGCACCTGTGCAATAAGCAACAGAATAAGTAGAATCACAACAGTAAATTTAGGTGACAAAGATAGAAAACCTCATAAAACAGCGACAGTATATATCTCTAGCAGTAAACCTAACTAAAACCACCAGACTCTGCTAGATGTACGCGTAATGACTCTTGCATCATTTGATAGGAAAAACATACAAAATAGGCAAAAAGCAAGAGAACACTGTAACAAGTAACGAGTAAGTATTTCTTTAGAAATAGGACTAGACAAGAAACGGCGCAACGGTGTACCCCAAGGCGGTATGAACCAAATGTGAAGATCTTAGCATTTGCTTCTTGCACAAACTGCTCGCCATAACCGCTCACCCTAGTGGCCTTCTTAATCCAAGTTTTCACAGTCTGCCAGGATAAACAACGAGTCATCTTGAAACCGGTTTACCCAAATTATAATCCAAAATATAAGCACATCGGCAGAGTATGCTCAAACCTGGTCAAGTTTGCCTAAGACCTCTTCTCGCGAGACAGCCTCCTCTTGACTCTCATACAAGCCCGCATCAGCAAGAAACTGATCGACACCAATAACAACATATGAGCAGAACACATTAAACAGGAGAGCAACGGAAAATTCCAAAATGCTATCTGACACCCATATCACACACACACACACACACACACACACACACACCTTTTCGACCTCGGCTGTCTGTACGACATCCTTCTCAGTTGGCCCGCCTAATGAGATTGGCTCGGAGACGCCAAGATAACCAGGATTGCTCTTCGCCATCAAGGCTCCCAAATTATTATTTATTTTATTTTTCAATGAAAGGTCGATTGTACAAGCTTTATATAAAAGCAAAGGGGAATGCTGGGGATACCAGCTTTACAAGGTAGAGTTCAATACAACACCAAAAATATATTACAGCAGTAGAATCAAACTGAGCCTACACGTCGCACTACCCTAGGACAGCAGAAGCAGACCGACTCCTTGTCTTCACCGGCGCCTGGCTGCTGGAGGGCCAGGCTCCACGGTTCAATCCTGGGAAACCCCCCCTGAGCGGCGGATCTAGACGGCGTGCCGGCCGAAACTGGTGGAGGGTCAGTGGAGTTTAACCGACGATGAGGCCGAACAGAGACGGCGACGGCCGCGACGCGTGGAATTGGGGGGTGAGGCGTCGGCGGCGGCGCTGAGCTACGGCGCGGCGGCAGGTCTAGGGCACAGCGGTCAGATTGGATTGGAGGCTGCGGGTCAGGAGAAGGGGGAGGCAATAAATATAGGCGGGGCGGCGGAGAGGGACGAAACCGTCGGGGAGATGGATTCCGACTCCGTTTCTAGCATGGAGGGCGCATAATTGATTTCAATCAATCGAAAATACAAAACAAACTGAGGGCGTGTTCGGGAGCGGATTGACTCCGGGGGAGCGCGGCGGCGGCGGCGGTGCTGCGGGTCCGGTACGGCGGCGCAGGCGGAATCCGGGAAGCTGCGGCGCGGAGGAGGATGGTGGACGGGGCGGGCGCCCGAGA